AGTCCAAGAAAATTAATACTCCCAATCTCTCTCTCGATCTCTCGATCTCGGCATTTTTTTGTATCCCACTTATCTCCCAGCATGAAATATGTTTTGAATACCAGGGATATGTGAAGTCGTAATCAATAAGAGGGCATCAGATTAGATACAAAATGCCATCGTCTGTACCTGGTCTCTCTTAGATGTGTTGACCATGCTGGCTGGGAGCTGTAGTGAGGGAGGTCAGTGGGGGGCACGTCATAGACTTTTCTTTAGATCAAAAGACGCAACTTCCTTGCAAGCTTGAAACGTGCTTCATTTTGCAAAGTAAACAAGGATTGGGGTGAATGACATCTGTGCCCTTCAGCTTTAGGTTGTTTAATGTTGCTTAACCTTTCTGCTGCCTTATGCTGGTGTTTTCCCAGAGCTATATGATACCATGTGCTTCTGTGAATTTTGGTAGTCGATGGGAATGAAAGGAACCAAAACGAGATGATACATAGCTTATGTGTCTTAATCCAAAGATTAAAATGAGTATAGCAGGGGTCCTCAAACTTTTTAAACAGAGGGTCAGGTCACAATCCCTCAAACTGTTGGAGGGCCGGATTATAATTTGAAAAAAAACCAAACATGAATGAATTCCTATGCACACTGCACATATCTTATTTATAGTGCAAAAAAAAAAAAAACACACTTAAAAACAATACAATAATTAAAATGAAGGAACAATTTTAACAAACATAAACTTATTAGTATTTCAGTGGGAAGTGTGGGCATGCTTTTGGTTGATGTTGTTTTTGTTGTTGTGTGCTTTCAAGTCATTGACCTTGAGCGAGGGCTGGGTAAATGACCTTATAGAATCATAGAATCATAGAATCAAAGAGTTGGAAGAGACCTCATGGGCCATCCAGTCCAACCCCCTGCCAAGAAGCAGGAATATTGCATTCAAATCACCCCTGACAGATGGCCATCCAGCCTCTGTTTAAAAGCTTCCAAAGAAGGAGCCTCCACCACACTCCGGGGCAGAGAGTTCCACTGCTGAACGGCTCTCACAGTCAGGAAGTTCTTCCTCATGTTCAGATGGAATCTCCTCTCTTGTAGTTTGAAGCCATTGTTCCGCGTCCTAGTCTCCAGGGAAGCAGAAAACAAGTTTGCTCCCTCCTCCCTGTGGCTTCCTCTCACATATTTATACATGGCTATCATATCCCCTCTCAGCCTTCTCTTCTTCAGGCTAAACATGCCCAGCTTGTTAAGCCGCTCCTCATAGGGCTTGTTCTCCAGACCTTTTATCATTTTAGTCGCTCTCCTCTGGACACATTCCAGCTTGGAGGGACGTATCCGGCCCCCGGGCCTTAGTTTGAGGACCCCTGGAGTATACAGAGCTTTGTGATCCTCTGATCTGATGCAATATTAGCTAGCTGCAATGAATTAAACCCTTGTGCCAGCAGGACTGCTGACCGAAAGGTCGGCAGTTCAAATCAGGGGAGCGGGGTGAGCTCCTGTCTATCAGCTCCGGCTTCCCATTTGGAGATGTGAGATAAGCCTCCCACAGGATGGTAAAACATCCAGGCATCCCCTGGGCAATGTCCTTACAGACATCCAATTCTCTCACACCAGAAGCGACTTGCAGTTTATCAAGTTGCTCCTGACACGGAAAAAAAGCTAGCTGCATACTTGCTCTAGGATTGTTATTTTTAAAACTTTTCAGTAATGAGTGCACAGTTTGGAAGTTACTTTTTGGAACTACGAGTCCCTCGACCCTCCAACCAGCACTGCTGCTAACGGTATTCTGTAGTCGAACCCCCGCTCCCCAAAACAATGAATTTCTCTCTCCCTCTTAATATTGTGTTTTCCCCTCCCTTTAGTCTTTCTCTATGTCTGCTTTGAACTTCCTGTGTCTAGTTTCTGCTCTATCTTTCTTGTCGCCTGGCTGTCTTAACTCTGTGATAAATCTGCCAGTAGGGACAGGAAACCCAGGCCTTTTTGGTAGGCCCTGCTGTGTATGTATGTATGCATATGCGTGTGTAAGTCTGAAAGTGAAAGAGACTGGCTTTCTGAGGTCTGAAGAGCAGCTGCCGCCTGTGCTGCCTGCCTGTAGCAGCAGCTGAGAAAGGAAGTAGCTCTTGCTGGTTGCAAGGCTGGTGGAAAGCAAAAAAGGAGAGGCAGCTGCTCCTGAGGGTGATGGGATCTCTATAGGCAGGGAGCCGAAGAGGAGGGGATAACTGCCGTGGCTTTAAGAGATAGCCTAGGCCTAATTTCCCCCCACCTTTGTGGAGGGGGCATAAATTGGGGCTATCAAACCTTCCTTTACATATGTATGCATATACCATATATTCCCGAGTATAAGCCAACCCGAATATAAGCTGAGACGCCTAATTTTACTACAAAAACTGGGAAAACGTATTGACTCGGGTATAAACCGAGGGTGGGAAATGCAGCAGCTACTGGTAAAATTCAAAAATAAAAATAGATACCAATAAAATGACATTGAGGAATCAGTAGCTTAAATGTTTTTGAATATTTACATAAAACTGTAATTTAAGATAAGAGTGTCCAACTCTGATTAAACGATTACTCTAACCTTCTTCAGTGTAAATGTGCTTACGTATCCTTCCAATAGTAATAGAGTAAAATAATGTAACAATACTAAATAGAGTAAAATAATGTAATAATAAATAGAGAAAAATAATAAATGCAATAACAATAATAAAGAGTAAAATAATAAATGTAATAAAAACAATAGAGTAAAATAATGGAAATGTAATAAGAACAGTAATAATAGAGTAAGTATAGTAAAATAATAAATATAATAATAGAGTAAAATAATAAGTATAATAATAAATAGAGTAAAATAATATAATAATAATAATAATAACAGTAAAGTAATAAAAAATAAAAATAACAATAGAGTAAAATAATGTAAATGTAATAATACTTTAATAGATAGAGTAAAATATATGTAAAAAACTTTGACTCGAGTATAAATCAAGGGGGGGGCATTTTCAGTATAAAAAAGGGGCTGGAAAACCTGGTTTATATTCAAGTATATTGGGTATATGTTGAGAGAGAACTAAAAGTTATATAGTTTCTGCCATCCTCATCTTGATTTTTCCTTTGGTGGTGACTACTTTAAATTGTCGAGGCAGTGTGTGAGTGCAATATGAACTTCCTGTAGAAAATATACAGTATACTTCACTTCATTACATCCTATAAATGCTTACACACATCCACATGGGGCATTAAAGTTGCCTGCTTAATTCCCTGCATTACTGCTTTTGACTATAGCATTTATTTGATTTCTTGATGGATTACTCACCTTTCTCTCAACACGTGGCTCTACAGAAGTCAGCAGCCACAGTAGGAGCTGGTTGAGAACACAGTGCATAGCAAGTGTGCACTGTTGAGACTCACCAAGCTCAAGGAGGTTCCCAGTGGTGCCTGCAACCTGCCAACTTGTTACAATTCTCTATTTCTAATATCCTGAACAAAAAGGCAAACCAGGATATTTACTGGGTCTCAAGCGGGCTGCCGTCAAAAGATGTGCAGTTCTGATGATAGCATAAGAGCTCCCAATTTCTTACTACGTGGAACATGAAATACTACAACATGAGCAGGTTTTTCACTTAGGTAGCCAGGCTCCATGTTTGGTAATTCAACTGCAGGCGCTACCTTGATCTCATCAATCAGGATACCTCTAGGAAAAAAATAAAATAAATCACAACCTCTGAGGATGCCTGCCATAGATGCAGGTGAAGCGTCAGGAGAGAATGCTTCTGGAACATGGCCGTACAGCCTGGAAAACTCACAACAACATAGTGATTCCAGCCATGAAAGCCTCCGACAATACATTAAATCAAGAGTGGTTGTCCAATGCCTTGACTAAAGGGAGCATTTGTGGAGTCTTATTACATTGGACTAGCCCTTGGAAAGGAAGGAGCGTGTTTGTGTCTGTGAATGTGAATGTTCCTATGGGCATTCATTCAATATTGTTGTGGGATTTCTGACATCTAAATATCAAGGGTTGAAATCTTTTTGGTCTTTGACTTCCAGTTCAAGTTGTCTTTGTGGTAAGCAGGGTAAATTTGCCTTCTGATTCTCGTACCTCTGATTCCGACACTGAAGAGCTGATTCTTTTTTGTCTCCAATCTTGAGTGCATGCTATTTATGTTCATGCAGATACACTGACACAAATTACACCATCGATTGTACCTTCAGATAGCATCGTTTACAGTTACAGTTGTCAAAAGGAGTTTGTAAGGTTTTCTACTAATATATATATTGTGCACTTGTGAGTTTACCTTCCCCTTTAGTCAACAAAGCAGAGGCTTGTAATAATTTTTTTCACGTTCCGGGGTGTTCGCTGTAGCGAAAGCTGTAACTTTCAAACAAATTAGAAAATATTCAGGCACCGATTTGTTTTGCTTTTTTTCAGAAATAATGTTTTGGCAAATCAAATGTCTAAGTGAATACTCTTATGTGAATATATGAGCTGTTGTTTACACAGACACAAATGCACTTCACCACCAAAAATGCCACTTTTCCACAATGTGATTGTTGTTCAAAATGGCGTTTGTTTAAACAGAAGGAAAGTAAGAGGGATGTACTTGCTTGAAGTGCTCATAGTAGTGATAAATGGTTAATAGCTTTCTACCTCTTAAAGGCACATGGTATTTAATATATATTATATCATATAAGCCTAGTTCTCATTCCTAAGTTAACCTCTTATTTTGAAATGTTGGGATAGTGGCCATTCATCATGCTTTAAAGTAAAAGCAATACTAATGCTTGTTGTGCTAAGTCAGGCATGGGCAAACTTGGGCTTTTCTTCCAGGTGTTTTGGACTTCAACTCCCATCATTCCTGACCTCAGGCCTGAGATCAGGAATGGTGGGAGTTGAAGTCCAAAACACCTGGAAGAAAAGCCCAAGTTTGCCCATGCCTATGCAAAATGTAAACAAATGGCGCCTTGCTGCAGTATTTGAGCTTTGCAATCAAAGTGTTTCCCTCTTCTCCCATTTCCAGGCCTGTCCATGATGCCGTCGAAAATGACCACTTGGAAATTCTCCGATTGTTACTTTCGTACGGTGCTGACCCAACACTGGCTACGTACTCAGGGAGAACGATTGTGAAAATGACTCACAGTGAACTTATGGAAACATTCCTTACAGGTGGGTAATATGGTCTGTCTCCTCCCTTATGGAAGTTACTGCATATTTGCAGTGTTGTTGTTTTTTGACTGACAGCTGACAAAAGGTCTTTTAGCACCTCAAAGGCTAGCAAAATTTATTTGGCAGGAGCTTTTATAGGCTGCAGTCCATGCGTAGGAAGTGCGGTGTGACTTTGCTGCAATTGCCTGTTGCTATCCTACTGGGATTTTTTCTACTAAAGTTTCATTACACTTCAGATGATAATAATAAAATCCAGAGATGTAATTTTTGGTTTTTTTAACAGAAATACCTGCTTGTAATAGCGGACTTTAAAGCACATCATGAGCATTTAAGCACTGTGCTATGGAATGATTGGCTATTAGGTTTTAGGTTGTATTCCCAAACACATTTCCAAGGGAGATAGAACTCATTGAACTCCAGGGACTTGCTTCCAAATTAGCACTTTAAGGATAATGTTATTAGTTATGTTTTTACACTGGTAAAAACACTAAGATGGTAATATGCCAGCCAGATTTTGGGGTGAAGAACAGAGTAGAACAAAAGGGAGAGTGCTCATCTTCATTTCTAAGCCAAAGAGTTGGCGTTGTCCATAAACACCTCCAAGGTCATGTGTCCAATATGACTGCATAGAGCGCTGTTACACTCCCGCCAAGGTAGTATCTATTGTACCTCCACTACTCTGTCTCCTATGAGCTTCTCCCATACAAATATTTTTCTTTCATCCCTATATCATCCCGAATTTTATTATTTTATCTCACAGATGTGGCCCTCCCTTTTGGGATTGATTCTGCGTTGTACTATTTTGTATTGCTTTATTGCATTCTTATGTTCTTATTTATTTAATTGTTTTTTTTATTCTGGTTTTATTTTGTTGTAATGTACTGTTGGGCCTGACCTCATGAAAGCCACCCTGAATCCCCTTTGGGGAGATGGTGGCGGGGTATAAATAAAGATTATTATTATTATTACTATTATTATTATTATTATTATTATTATTATTATTATTATTATTATTCTCCTGACATTTGCATGTTAACAAACTGCTAGGTTGGCAAAATCTGGGCCTAACAGCAGGAGCTCAGCCTGCTCCCCAAATTCAAACAGCCACCCTTTTGGTCAGCAAGTTCAGCAGCTCAGCGGTTTAAGCCACTGCAACACTAGGGGCTCCTTACCATATGCCTTTATTAAATAATACCTGAAAATACAGCCTTTTCCCCACAAAACAACCACATTTTATTGAATAGACCAATCCTTCCCTCCTTCCTGTTTGACTTCTTTTGACAAAGAAGCTGGAGAAACAAAAGTGATAACAAAAAGGCAAAAATAAGTACGAAATCAATTAAATCTATTTAGGAGTCCTAAAAAAGTTATACACAGGACTACCATGTATCCTTATAAGCCATGTTAAATAGGAGAGACATTGTAAAGATAATGATCTTGGTGCCAGGAGTGAATGCATGCACTTTTGGTGCTAAAGGACCTTTTATTTAGCTGCCAGAAGAGATCCTGCAGCTACATCAGCTGTTAGAATTGAAGACACAATGTAAGACCAATCTCTTCCGACAAGCCTAGTCAGTCAATTTTAACTTGTGAATTTCAACCTACATTAATTGGTAAATGTCAAGCTGCATTTTAACTGAGTGTATTTGGTATATGTATTTTAAAATTGTGTTATTTTTATATGTATTGATATTGGTTGTTTTTATAATTTTTATGTGATATTGTTTATACTCATGTACCGTTCTTGTTATGCTGCACTTAAAGTGCCTTGTAAGTCGTCTCGAATCCCTTTTGGGAGCTAGTGGCAGGATAATAATAATAATAATAATAACAATAGTGCTTTGTTTTACTTCACTGTTTTAAATATATTGTCCCACACCTCAATTTGCAAAGAGACAGGTGATAAATTATTATTATTATTATTATTATTATTATTATTATTATTATTATTATTATTTAACTTCAAAAGCTGAGAGAACCCAGCCAGCGATCTCGAATACAAATATTCACTGCTGGACAGTTTCATGTGGAGCATATGAATATAGATATGATTTGTTTTTTGTACCTTAGTGTGTATAAATATAAAATAATCCAAGGTTTACAGTTTGTATGTTTAGAGCCTGTTTCAGAAATATGAAGAATGAGATAGCTAAGGGCAGGAAATGGGTCAGAAGAGGTAAATAGAATCAAGAAGGAGAAGGATTTTGGCGTGAAAATAATATGAGAAATGGCATCATCTGGGATCTCTACTGATACGATCAATAATATTGATGGCATATTCTTTGAGAACTTGGCATACAGAACTTCTTAGAGTTATAAATATTCTGACACTCGTATAACAGATGGTCTGGAAATTTCCCCCCCTTTTTTGGTTTTGACTTGATGTTTGTTGTTATTGTTTCTCTCTAGAGTATTTAACTGACCTGCAGGGTCGAGATGTTGATGACCTTAGCTTACACTGGGACTTTTATGGCAGCTCTGTATGCGGTAAGTAAACATTCCCTTTTTGTATTATGCATGGGAGTTTCTGTATGGGGCAGTTGGGGTGGAAGAGGAGGAGAAGTCGAGCGAGATGTGCAATGTGTGTTTTACAGCCTCCTTCATTTATTCTTTTTATATTTTATTATTTCAAAGAGCCAAAAGGCGAGTCTGGATTTGACATCCTATCTAATCCACCTGGTCCAAGTGATGATGAAGATGGCTTTAGCGATATCTTTGAGTTTGAATTCTCAGACGCGCCTCTCTTACCCTGTTTCAACATCCAGGTGTCTCTCTCTCAGGGGTAAGGACTATCATAATTTGTACTGGGAAATGGACTAACTGCCAGTAGATATATAATTTTTTTAATAATTTCAATATAACCAATGGCAGGTAATATTTTTGTTGAATTATTCTTTTCCTGTTGATTTTGTAGAAATATTTTATTCTCCTTATTTTAATTCTATTGAATATAAAAAATCAACTTTCCCCCTACAAAGTATTTTAATTCAAACACAAAAAACAAATTGTGGGTACAGTCTATATTTATTTATTTATTTATTTATTTATTTATTTATTTATTTTATTCACTGTATTTATCTACTGACATAAACCGTAGATCTCTTCTCTTTCTCTCTACATGTTCAAATGTATATACTAGTTTAGTTTTTTCCAGTGCAGGACATGGTTAACTCTTGTGTCTTAAAAATTAACCATTCCCATCCCTGTCCGGAGCCCCTGCTGGCACAGCGGGTTAAACCATTGAGCTGCTGAACTTGCTGACCAAAAGGTCAGCAGTTCGAATCCGGGGAGCCGGATGAGCTCCCGCTGCTAGCTCCAGCTTCTGACAACCTAGCAGATGTTAGTAGATCAATAGGTATCACTTTGGCAGGAAGGTAACGATGCTCCATGTAGTCATGTCGGCACATGACCTGAGAGGTGTCTATGGATAACACCATCTCTTTGGCTTAGAAATGGAGATGAGCGCCACCTCCCAGAGTCGGACATGACTAGACTTAATGTCATAGACTTAATGTCAATGGGAAACCTTTACCTTTATTCCTGTCAATGGAATAACTTCGGAAGCATGGCTCTTGAGGGTGTTCTGGAAATTCAAAAATTCTTTAAAAAGTAACATTTTCAAGCTGCACTTAAACATTATGTTCATGATCTCCAAAGGTCCAAAGGAGGAGAGTAGGCGTATCCACTTGCTTCTTGTTATTATGATCTTTCAAGTTTCCCTATAAAGTGACTGACTTCTTTCTAAGATTTCTTCTGAGAGGTTTTGCCACTGCTTTAATCTGAAGTTGAGAGAGTATGACTTGCCCAAAATCACTCAGTGGGCTTCCATGACCAAGCAGGGATTCAAACCTGAATCCTAGTCCAGAATTCTAGTCCAAGACTAAGTCATGAAAGCATGCTGGATCTCAAACCCACTTGCTAGTTTCTACTAAAATAGCTATATTGCAACAGTTACTACGTAGTCATTGGTTAAGTGAGTTGGAACTAGTTGTTGGTTTTTTTTTTACAGTGTTGGCTGCTTGCCTTCACAAAGGGAAGGTGTGTGTGTGTACATGTAGACTAGGTTGTTGTTGTTTTTTTTTTTTGCCAAAATATAGCTATAGCCATGCATCTGGCAAATGGAATGTGACCGCTCCAGTTATGCAGACTTAGCACTGACGTAATCATCTGGAGGGAAACCTTTGTATCGCCTTATTAGTAATTTGATCCTCTTTCTTTTCTTTGTCATACAGACCACGGAACTGGTTATTACTCTCGGATGTAGCAAAGAGGCTGAAAATGTCACCCCGGATATTTCACTGCAACTTCCCAAGCGTGGAGGTTGTCAGGATCACAGAAGCGGAATTTTTCAAGCAGGTCTCCCTGAGCCAGCTATTCTCTTGCGAAAAGGATCTGGAAGCGTTCAACCCAGATAGCAAGGAACTGTTGGACTTGGTAGAGTTCACAAGTGAGATGCAGTCTTTGCTTGGATCCTCGCTTGAGGTGCTACATCCAGATGATGAAGAAGAAGAAGAAGAAGAAGTAGAAGCAGAAGCAGCAGAAGAAGATAATCATTGGTGAAGCTCCAAGCCACTTAATGTATAGTTCCCTGTAAAGTTATTTCTTTATGTATATGTGTTTATTGCAATTGTTTCTGTAAAGAAAGGGCACTGTAAAATAAGATATCTTTCCTATATATACATATATTATATATATATATAAATATATTAAAAATTCTAGTTGGGTGGATTTTTGGAAGATTTTTTTTAGACGCGTCACTCAGTTTTTACAAATTGATATATAATATTCCTTTAAATGCACACAAATTTTTGGTATAAATTTGTTTTTACTTGGAACCTTTTTTTAAATAAAGAAAATGGCTTTGCTTCATTCAAAGCGCTGGTGACACAGAAGACACCTGTTAGAGGTGATGTGATTACAGTGACATGGTTGGCTTGGCTTAGGAGACCATTGGGTAAGGCACTTCATCGTATTTTTTTTCTTTTTTGTTTACAAAATTGCCTGCTTTGGCCAGGCAAATGCTATTGAATATAATTTGGTAGCCTGTAATATAAATTAAAACCATATCCATGTGCATTGACTAATTGTGTGAATTTTTATATCTTAATTTAAGAGATGTGAAATATAGTTTCACACAGAAAAGTGGATTGTTTATATGTCTGTATATAGATATATATATATGTTTAAACATTTGATGCTCTTTATTTAAAAGAAGACTTTGAACTATTTTTTCTGGACCTTGTAAAATATTGAAAACTAACCTATGTTGAAGTTGTTTAAAACTGTACAGAAGCTAAATCTTTTTTCCAAATTGTGTGTTTATGTTTGAGATCTGTGTTTTAACTTTGTAAGTAAATTCTGCCTTTGTATTTATATTTTGCAAAAAAAAATCTAAAGGCAATAAAACTGTTGAGAAAACAATATTGAAATAACTTGGTCTGGTGCGTGATCCTCAAACTCAGTTGGCATCTCTCCTTCCATATGTAGAGATACACATATACCAGGGAATCTGCATATTACATATTGCCCTTTCCTGTTTACAGCTAAGGATGTGTATAGATTTATTTATTTACTTATTTAAAACATTTGTATTCCACTCTTCTCACCCCGAAGATTCAGGGCGGAGCACAAAATATATACTGCAAACATTCAGTTCCGGAACATAAAATAAACTATAAATATACATATATATAAATAAAATGTAATGTTCGTTTGTGGGATTAACATAACTCATAAACTACTGCACGAATTGACACGAAATTTGGACACAACACACCTATCAGGCTAATGAGTGACTATCACTCATAAAAACACTGAAAAACACAGCAGAAGGGACTTAAAAAGCCAAAAAAAAAAGCAAAAATACATTACAGCGCATGCACAAAATGACTCCTGGCAAACAAAACACACAATAGCATATCCACACTCTCTTCCAGACTACAGCTCCCAGAATCCCCTAGACTAGGCCCTTTAAGAGAGGAGGATGCTCCAAATGCATTGCTTCCAAGATGCAAGCTTTCTTCTCCTTGGATTTCTTTGAGAGCATCCCAATCTCTGCATATTTCTAATTTCCTATTCCTGGACTGCAACTTCCAGCAATCCTCCAGATAGATAAGATAGATTAGATAGAGAGAGAGAGAGAGATAGATAGATAGATAGATAGATAGATAGATAGATAGATAGATCAGGAGGACTGCTGGGAGATGCAGTCCAAGAATAGGTAGAGAAGGAAGAAAGGAGAGAAAGAGCAAGGGAAAGAAAAGGGGGGGAAGGGAAGAGGAAGAGAAAGAAGGAAGGAAGGAGGGAATGAAAGAAAAAAGGGAAGGGGAGGGAGGAAGGGAGGAAGGAAGGAGAGAAAGAGGGAGGAAAGTTTGGCCACAGCAACGTGTGGTGGGTACAGCTAGTAAACACTAAAATCAATCATCGCCAATTTTAAAATCAGTTGTTTAAAACCATTTCTGAACAAGTTTCCTATTGTTGACTTATTGCAACAATAGGAAACTGATCTAATTTTGCCAGGAAGGGAGTTCCATAGCTGAGGGGCAATCACTGAGAAGGCCCTCTCTCTCGTCCCTGCCAATTGCACTTGTGACGGTGGCGGGACCGAGAGCAGGGCCTCTCCAGAATATCTTAAGACTTCATGGTGGTTCATAGAGAGAGATGCATTCGGACAGGTAAACTTGACCGGGGCCATGCATAGATGTGCATAGTACGTGGCCAATACAAGGCTGGATTGGTTTTTATGTCAAGTCAACCCGTATCTTCTGTTTTTGTGTGCAGTTGGGCATGGTCAATATTGTGTTTCTGGTTTGTACTATGTAGGTATTTTGATCTATCTACCCTGTAAGATTAACTTAACAGAGTCATTTCCTATTAAAACTGTTGGTATTTTTAATCTTCTAAAAATATCTCGTCACCAAACTATTCCACTGAGGCAGTTTGCTAGACAAAACTGCAAGCAACCAAGGCCATTGAAAATAGATTTAGGCTCCAGTACAGGGAAAAATAGCAGCCTTCATGTATTTTATGAACAACAATATGAGACTGCCCTCTCGGTTGCCAGGCCAGCTCAAGACTGGTATGCAATTTGAGGCCATTTTTCCTAAGACAAACCTATCATGGGGATTTCTTGGCTGGATTGTTCAGACTGGGTTTCTTTTTGCATGTCTCTGAAACTGAAAGAATGTGACTTACCCATGGTTGCCCAGTAGGTTTCAGTGGGCGAGCAGAGATTCGAACCCTGTCCCAGTTCAACACATAAATCACTATACTATGCTAGCTCTTCCTGCTTATTAACCCCTGCTCATTTTATATTGGCTTCGCCCACCTCTTTTAGACCTGCCATTGGCTACATCTTATCAATCTGAAAAGGTCTGAAATAAAACAAAGGGAGTTCGTTCTATCCATTATGTAGAAGCCAGTGATGACCACTGCTGGTCACGTAAAAAATGTTTTAGAAGAAGACCAGATCTAGCCAACAGCTAGTGCTAAAAATGGGGCAGGTACAGCCCCAGGGACCTGTTTGAATGGCTATGCTGTAAGGCAGTGGTTCTCAACCTTTTTTTGACCAGGGATCACTTTGACCAGGGACCAATCTCCAACATTAGTACCAAAAGGGTTACAAATCAGTTTTTTGTCAACTTTAGATTCAGTTAGGTTATTTGGGGTGCTGATTCAGAAAATTGCATTGGATAGACCGCATCCGCGCTAGTTTCTGATACAGAACATATGCCATCCTGTAGTCGGCATCTGCTCACTCACAGAATATTGTATTTAATAAGCCTCGGTACTATAAGAAGGTTTCGAGAGACCAGTCACTCGTTGCAATGGTGTAGTAACAGTGAGGCCACGGACCATATTTTAGTTTTTGCAGACCAATAGTGGTCCATGGACCACAGGTTGGGAACCACTGCTGTAAGAGGACTTGAATTCTTGTACTCTCTTTAAACTCTTAGATCAGTGGTGAAATTCATATTTTAGAACATTAACATGCTGCTATGCGTGTTTAAAGGTCTAATTCACCATCCTGTTTTGCTTTGTGAACAAAAGAAAATTGGCAAAAGGGCAAAAGACCTGTTTGGCCGTGGTTTCTTCATGTCTGGAATTCTGAAGGTATGTTTCCCCTCAGCTTAGGGGCAAAAGACCTTCATGATTAGTATCTAATAGATCTGTGGTTCTCAACCTTTTTTTGAACAGCAACCACTTGACCAGGAACAACTTTGACCAGGGACCATTTGGCCAGAGACCACCTTGACCAGGAACCACTTAACCAGGGACCACTTTGACCAGGCACAATTCTCCAACGTTAATATCAAAATGGTTATGAATCAGTTTTTGGCCAACGTTAGATTCAGTTTGGTTATTTGGGGTGGTGATTCAGAAAATTCCATTGGATAGACCACATCAGCCCTAGTTTCTGATACAAAACATATGCCATGGTCAGCAACAGGGAAGGAGTGGCAGGTGGCACAAAAGGAGAAGAAATAAAACAAATAATAAAGGAAAAGGAGGCTCACGGACCAGGTTTAGTGATCCATGGCCCACAGGTTAAGAACCACTGCAATAGATAAACTCAAGATTCCATTCCTTAAAAAAAAAAAAGGCTCTCCAGGTTGCTGAAACCTGTGCCAAAACTAGGATGAGCACCTTTAATGGCTCCTTTAAAGTACAAACTAAAACCTGGAATGGATTCATAGGCCCAATGCCATGGGAAATAATAGATTCCGCTGATAGTTTCCTATTATGCTTGTCTACGGAATCAAGCTGCAGGAGCTGGTCTTGGACTTCATGCTATGTAGTGCCTAGAACCTAATGTTAGAATCAGAATGGTCACAGTGGTAGAACTTCCAGACACCCCCCCTCCCCCTCATCCAAGGTAATTATGGGTCTGGTTGATTGGGGAATCTTGAGAGATTATGTCTACTACTACTACTACTACTACTACTACTACTACTACTACTAATAATAATAATAATTTATATGGTGCTCTATCTCCCTTAGGGGACTCAGGGCAGTTTCCAAATAATAAAAAACACAAAAAGATACAGAGTAAGTAAAATCATAGGCATAAAATTATCAACACCACACATATACATTAAAACCAATTCCACCTTATTCTTCATGCCAAGATTAACTGTTAGTGCTGGAATTTCAGAAAGGACCTAGGCAATTTGGGATGGCCAGGCCGGGGCTAGTGCAAAGTAAGCCATAGGGGGCCAGGGGAATGGATAAAGTGCAATAACCAAACTCAACAATAGTGATAGTGGGGCCTGTAGCTGCCCATTGCCAGAGTGTATTGGGGAACTGACTGGGGTAATAGGTGGGGGTGAAGGGCCAGATTCTAAATAGTAGCCAGGGGCTGGAGCTTGTACTAGCTGTTCTCAAAGGCCTGGTGAAACCACCAGGTTTTCAAGCTCATACGAAAAGAGGAGAGGGATGGGGCCTATCTTATTTACCTGGGGAGGGCATTCCGGAGGCCGGGGGCCACAACCGAGAAGGCTCTCTCCCTCGTCCCCACTAACCGTGCTAATGATGGTGGTGGGAGCAAAAAAAAGGGCCTCCCCAGTGAATTTTAGAGTTAGCGCTGGTTTGTAGAGAGAGATGCGATCATGAAGATAGACAGAGCCTGAACCGTTTAGGGTTCATATAACTTCCAAAACCTGATTCCAGCTACTGCTGTTCTTCCTAGTATGTAAGGTGCTGGCTACTATCTATATCAACACTTCAAAGAAATGGAAAAAATATTTTGGATTATTTCACTGCTGGGTATTGGAAAGACCATGCTGTTTTTTTTATTTTATAAGGTCTCAGCCCATGAAGAACAAACATTAGTCTTGATGTGGGCTAGCTGTTTTTAACTATTACATTTATCGCATTCAGTGTGGGACTTCTAGTCATTTTCCTCATATTTGTGGTGCTTTTCAGGAGAGACCTGTCTGGACAGGCTTTAAACCATAGGACAAGAACTCCTAGACTTCATGTAGTTGGCTACCCCCACTTTATAGGTACAAAAGGGGGAAAATTATGAAAGGGCTGGGGCTAATCCCCTGTGAGGAATAACTGCAACGTTTGGGGCATTTCAGCTTAGAAAAAAGTCAAGTAAGTGAGGGGTTATGGCAGAGTATATGGAATTATTCATACTGAGGAGAAAGTGAAGCAGAACTGACCCAGGGTCAATCAATTAAGCTGAATGGTAGGACATTTATGAATGATAGAGGAAAGTACTTAGTGTATAATCAAGCTGTGGGATTCATAACTTTGCAACATAGAGATGGTCACCAATTTTAAAAGCCTCAGAAAGGGATTTCTGGCATTTGTGGAAGATGAAGCTCCTGGTGGCTACTATTCACTGAGGCTACTGAGCATTTCTTTGTTTGCTTGTTTGATCTTTCTCCTGAAATAGGACATTCAGGACAACAAAG